AGATATTCATGCTCTAAAGAAAACTGAACACTTTGACCAGTTTTTCTGTAGGTGCTATACTGGCTTGGTCTACTTGATGAATGAATGAGTGAATATATGAATAACTGAATTACCTTTATGTATGACTTTTTGGCTCTGTAGGACAGCTATTAATACTCTTTTAAAACATACTAGGAGTAACATGACCATGTTAATTAAATTGTCTTATGAACAGCTGTAAGGAAAAGGAATCATTAAAGGGAACAGGATCAAGCTGGGAGACAGGAACCCCAGAAGCCTATTCCCCACTATCTTCAGGGCTATAATTGTGATTAAATCACAAATAAACCCAGAAAGTGTATTCTTAAATAACGTAATGAATCTGATACATCAAAGTGATCTACTGAAAAATAAAACTCCGGATCCATTTGGTGAATATTGCTCTGGCAAAATGAACAAAGGAGTATCTCAAATCTTTGCTAGAAGCAGCAGAATTGTAACAGAAGAATTTGAGAAAAAATAAAAATAAAATGTGACTACTGTTACTATTACTCTAATACAAAATTCTACAAAATAGGTGTTTTTATTCCATCTTTAAGGCAGGGAGGCAAACTCATCTGCCTGAGTTCACAGGGGACTCAACATGGACCAGATTTCAAAGCCTTGACTCTCTTCTCTGTATCACACTATCGCCATTTCACGGACTTATTAGCCTTGTTTATTTATTTTATGAGTTTAAAACTTTTTTTCTCCTTTCCAGTGTGTTAACAGTCCAACCCAGAAGCAGCATTTGGAGGGTTACATCCAAAATTTCCCTTTTCTCAAACCAGATCTTAAATCTTTCTGTTCCCTGTCTCCACTTCTCATTTTACAGGTCTTTGGAAATGTGTCTATAAAATGTATTCATTCTTTACTGATCCCTGCAACCTGCAAAAGAGTGTGTGAGACACTAGAAAGTCAGCAATAATTGCCACAGTCCTTTACTCTAATGGGACAGATAGTCTTATAGGAGATACAGATAAACAAAGGAAATTATAATGTGAGGCCAGAAGGCACATCGGTAGTGTGAGAATACTCAAAAGTGGTATGAAATGTGGACTTGGGTGGAGGGTGGTCTGTAAGTACTTCCTGGAAGATGCAGCACCTGAGTCGATATCTAAAAGATGAGGGTGACTGAGTTCACTTAGGTCTGTGTACAGAGCGGTCTGCCAAAAAGTGCCTATGGGAGCTTGAAAGAAAAGAGGCATTTGCTATATTCTTAATTTGCTGAAGGTCATTCGGTATGAGTGAGCAGTAGTTTGTGTGTGTGTGTGTGTGTGTGCATGCACATCAGTGCCATAGTAAAAATTGGTTTGGAGAAGAATGGAGATGCTAAGTTATTATCATTGACTAATGATAATAATAAGTAGCACTTAACACTCTGTGCCAGGCACTGTAGCAAGTAATTTTAATATAACATGTTTATTCCTCATAACAACCCTAAGAAAAAGGTATACCATTATGATCTCCATTTTCTATACAAGGAGAAGGAGACGCACAGAGGCTAAGTGACTTCTTCAAGTTCCCAGACCAAGTGAGTGACACACCTGGGACTTGAGCTCCAGCCAACCTAGCACGAGAAGCGTGGTCCTTGGATGAGTATTATCAGCTTCACCTGGAAAGCTTGTTAGACATGTAAAAACTCAGGCATCAACCCATGGGGCACCTGGGTGGCTCAGTTGGTTAAGCGACTGCCTTCGGCTCAGGTCATGATCCTGGAGTCCCGGGATCGAGTCCCGCATCGGGCTCCCTGCTCAGCGGGGGTCTGCTTCTCCCTTTGACCCTCTTCCCTCTCGTGCTCTCTGTCTCTCATTCTCTCTCTCAAATAAATAAATAAAATCTTTTAAAAAAAAAAAGAGTGGTCTTAGTGGGAAAGAACCATGAGTTTGGTATCATGGGAACCCTGGGTAAAGAGTGTCTCAAGGTGGGGAAAGTGAAGAAGAAGGTTAAGTTGATTTGAGACACTGAATAGATGAGAAATGTCTGCTGGGTTTAACAAGACACTAGTGATTGACAGCCTCCATGAGAACTGGGGAAACTGGTGAGGATGAAAGCCAGACTGCAATAGATTGAGAAGCCAGGCTCAGGAAGTAGAGATTAACAGAATGTAGACAAACTTTCGGGAGATTGATCTATGAAGCTGAGGGAGAGGGGAACTGTAGGAGCTCAGTAACGAAGGAGAGGCATTTTAAGACGGGAAATTTGAGCATGTTTAAGTGCTGATGGAAGGAGCTAATAAAGAAGGGAAGGTTAAAGATGGTGAGCCCTGAAGGGCAGGGTATGAGTTAATGGGCACTGGTTTAGATCTTCCCTTTTAGGTTCCAATACCGAAAGGTAGGTATGGAGATTCGGGAGGATGGTCAGAGAAACAGGAAGGCCTCTCTGTAGTCATCTATTCCACATTCTGGGGTCTTCAGTGGGTTCATTCTATCACCCTTCCATCCTAAGCCTTGTTCTCCACAAAAGGAGCTGTTCTGCTACTTGATTACTCCACTTTTATTTCCATGACCTGCTGTCCAGGACAAATATGGCCATGAATTAACTAAGCACCTGCTTTAAAAATTAACCCTTAAACTAAAATCCTTTCCTTAGCCTTACCTGTCTTCAGGTGAGGACAGTTTAGAGAGACAGTTTAGGCGTTCTCCCACCCAAAGCCTTTTAAAGATTTGGGGAATGCACTGGCACCAAGGTATGCTTAAAGTTGAGGTTTTTGGCTTCACAGAAAACAGTGGTTCATCATCAGGATCCCTGGGAATACTCAAGGACACATTTCAGGAATCTATCAAACTCAGAAATGTCATTGAAAATCTATTTGCCACAGGCTTTTTTTTTTTTTTTCTTTTTTTTTTTAGAAAAGGGTCCATTGATTCTGTTAGATCCTTAAGGGTATCTTTAGTCTGTGGAGACAGATAAATGCTCAAGCTGATCATTTCCAGGGTATCAAAACGTAACCAAGAAAAATTATGGCAATCAGAGAGGAAAAAGACAATTACAAGAACACAGAAATACATGTTTGTTTAGCCGACATCTGACTCAGACCTCCCCATGTGAACCCAAGGATTTGGTTTTCAATTCTAAAGAAATCATGTTTCCTAGATTGAAAACATAAAAAACAAATCAAAGCTTTTCCAACATGTTCTAGATGAACATTTATTTTCAATATTACAGTAGAAAGTTGCTAGGCTTGCCTAAGGAACCCAAATTAATCCACCTTTATTCAAAATGTTGTTGGCAAGTATAATAAAAATAAGAGGTAAACTTGTCAGTGAGGTGATGTGACATTAAAACCCAAAATGCTGCTCTTGGTTGGTAGAACAGGCTCAGAACTGGCAACTAATGATAACGTGTGGAAATAAATAGAGCAAGTGTGGAAAACAGACATCGGAGTTTACCTTCCCCATCAAACGGCTTGGATTATGGCTTCAGGCATATATCATAACAAATATGTTAAGAAATACCTTGTATGATACATGTTTGCAGTATTTGTGTTAAATATTAATCTATAGCTTTTGCCAATGAAAATGTTAGAATTTATACATGACGATGTTGTGGATGTGAAACGACAGCTAAAATCACTTGAGGATTTTCTTACATTTTATTTATAAGGATTACACATTTTATTAATGATTCTTTTTAGTTTCCACATTTCTGAAACCCAAACTGACAGCTGAGGATTTGCATTTGGTTTTCAAAGGGCTGACAGACGCCAAAGGGAGTCTGACTGACCGGGTGAGACAGCGTAAACACATGTGGGACGCATACTGTTTCTGTAGTGATGGTGTTTGCTTCAGGAAGCAGTGCTTTTGATTCCTGTAATAGGTCATATATTTGTGTGGGCCAGACCCACAAGCATTTCAGCTCAATCTCCGAAAACCTCACATTAGGAATGGTCGTTAAGGCTGCGTCTGGAAAGTAGGCAGATTTTTCTCGAAAATAGCAGGAATCTTACTAACTCACTTAAAATCTGTAAATGACTTTGAATTGTGCTCTGGACATATAAACCCAGCCATAAAATAAACACAGTAATAAAGTTAGTCATTCAAATAAATTAAGCCAAATAAATCCCCAGAATCCTGCCACCCCCTTTTTATGGCAACGAAGCTATACCCCCATGTATAAAGACCATTTTCACAACAGAGGCGACAACTCTGAAGAGTTATCTGACCACTGTGTAGCCTCCGCATGCATATTATTGAAATGAGAAATCTGAAAAGCTCAGTTTATAAAATATGACAACTGTTGGCTCAACTGGCTTTTGAAGAGTTTCTAAGAAACTTCAAGACCAAGTAAAAATTTTCTCATAAGCAGTCACTAGAAAGTTTATAAGAATCTCTCATCCTTAAAAAAAAAAAAATTAAAGCCGAAATACCACATTAAAAAAACACAAAGGAAACATTACGGAAAAGAAAACAAAACTTACTTTTTCTTAAAGCTGTTTTTTCCTGTGATTTAAAGAGTATGAAAGGAGAATATATGATGATTATTTTTCTCCTCCAACACATTCAAATGTCAACTCCAAAAGGAACAGAAAGGACCACCAGAGCTATCTGAGGGTCCCTCCCAATTGCAGCTTTTTCAGCTTTGTAGAAGGAAATAGGAGGGTGAGTGGGTTTCCTCCAAGTCTTGTGATGTGCACGTAGCTGACTCCTACTGGGCTGAAAAAGCACTCCCTGTCAATTTTTATTTCAAATTGTAACAAATTCTCTGCAGGATATCCTTAAAGGGAAATCCTGCCAAAATTAGTATTTGGAATATCTGGATAAGCTCCAAAAAGTTTAAAATACAAAGTGTATATACAGACAACTCACATACATACTCAAGAAATTTCCACTGCTTAGGCTAAATGAAGGACATATTTAAATTTTTAAAAATTCCCAAAAGGATGATGTATTTTCTTTTTCCTTGTTTTTTTTTTTTTTCAATTTTTTTTTTTGTTTGTTTGTTTTCTTGTTTTCTAACGACTCTCTGAACTTATCTTTTAGGGTTAGAAATGGTTGCCCTACAGAGCTTTCCTGCTGAACTATCTAGAAAGAGATGAGGCCCCATGTTCTTACCTGCTGAATTTTTGGTTGCTTGAGACATAAATCCTGGGTTGTGGCCTCTATCACTGCCTTCTTGGGAAATTTGAGAACTTTGAGCCGTGGATTTGACCGGAATAACTCCAGGTATTTACCTGCTTCCTGAACCTCACTGTGGACTCACCATTCCCTGCCTTTGCTTATTGCCCTATGAGCTGGTAACGATTGTTATGTCACAGCATGGCTGTGTGACTTCATTTAAACAGAGACTTGTCTGGTCTTTCGAAATCTGTGATTAAAAAATGAAAAGTGGAGTGGGACACCTGGGTGGCTCAGGCAGTTAAGCATCTGCCTTCGGCTCAGGTCCTGATCCCAGGGACCTGGGATCAAGTCCCGCATCAGGAGCCTGCTTCTCCCTCTGCCCGCCACTCCCCCTGCTTGTGTGCATGTGTGCTCTCTCCCTCTCTCTCTGACAAATAAATCCTTAAAAAAAAAATGAAAAGTGGATAGAGATTTCGAGAGTTGCATTTAAAGAAATGTTTGAATATTGAACTAATCCACAACAGGAATTCTCCGTGGGTCAATTTGATCCATAAAGCAAATGACGTTTGCTCCTAGAATCTTCTATTTGGCGCTGTTTTTTCGTTTCATAAGGTGGGGATGAGAGAAGAAATGTTCTGCCTTCACCCCATTTATTCCCAGACAAAAACCGTTCTTATTCTAAGTGCTAAAGGAATTATATACGAATATTTTCTGAGATCGAACTCAGGCAGATACAGTAAAAAAAACGTGAGTTAGGGAAATGCAAAGCTAGTCCACTGTGTGCATTGCTATTCCCCTGGATTTGATGATTAAGACCTGAAAATGAAAACATGGTGAGCAGCGACAACAAATCGATTCAGTGAAAGGACACAAGCACATTCAACTAGTAATAGATGTTAACCCTCATGATACTACTGCTAGCCAGGCATTATTTTTATCCTTTTCTAGGAGAGGAAGTGGAGTCTTGGAGATATAAAATTGCATATGTTCCCATGTAAGTATGGGGCCAGCACCCTCTTTGTTTACTTGTCTGCTTCCGGAGAGGGTAATCTACATTCACTGGTAAAACTTCTGATCCTCCCGCTTCCTCCTCAGACAGTTGCAATAAGTCTTCTTCCCTTTGAACTACTCCACCAAAAAAAGCTTCATTGAGTTCATAAAATGTCTTAATTAGTACTTTAAAGGGCACTGTCTTTAACCTTACCTGAGACTTCTCATCTCTGGCCATGTTTATTTCTTTTTGAAATTTGCCCTTGGTTTCACTAAGTTACATGCTCCTGATTTACTCCTTGTTCTTACCATCTTCAGCCTCCTCTCCCTTTATTCATCTCACCCTTCCCTAGAGCTTCCTCCTCAGTCCAGCAGGCTTCTCTGTACACTCTCCATGGCGCTCCTTATGGAAACCACTAGCAAATTTATGACTCCCAATGGTGTCATAGAGGTTCCAGACCTGTCTCCTGTTGTCTGTTGGCCATCTTTTTCCACAGGTTCCCAGGCACCTCAAACTGAAAAGTCCCTACGAAACCACCTCATCTTCTCACTCCAAACCTACTTAGTCGGCTGGAGTTCCTCTCTCAGGGGATGACACAATCATCCAAGCCATCATCTTAGACCGTCCTCCCTTATTCTCCACCAGCCCCAATCATTCATCCCCTTCCCCAACTTCTCCTGGTTCTACTTTGTTAAATCTCTCTCAAATATGTCATCATCCCTGCATCGTCCCTGTGCATCCTCACATTTCTCACTTGGATTACTGTATCAGTCTTAAAACGATTGGTATCTTGGCCTCAGTCTGGTCCCCTCCTCTCATTTCTTTACATTACTGTAAAACAGTATTTTAAAATATCAGTTTATCAAATCATAAAATACATGCTTCTTGCAGAAAACCTGGAATAAAAATTGAAAAAATAAAATTTAAAATGATTTGCAGTCTAAGAGGCAGTCACAACCCAAATCTTAACCCAAATCGCTTCAGAATATTTTGTATGCATGCATAGAACTATACAAGGAAATATTTATGTAAATGTACTTATGCAAATGTTTACACAGTATATTTAATTAGAAAACCAAGACCACATTATATATAGTTCTGTATCCTTTTCTACTTAATATACACTGTGAATGATTTTCCAAATCAAACATTTTTTTTTTAAAGATTTTATTTATTTATTTGAGAGAGAGAGAGTGAGAGAGAGAGCGCAAGAGGGGGTAGGGTTAGAGGGAGAAGCAGACTCCCTGCCGAGCAGGGAGCCCGATGTGGGACTCGATCCCGGGACTCCAGGATCATGACCTGAGCCGAAGACAGTCGCTTAACCAACTGAGCCACCCAGGCGCCCTAAATCAAACATTTTTAAAGTGGTTGTGAATAAAGGCTGCAATATAATGAAACACATGAAATATATTATGGAATAGTGCTCTTCTCTCTCTCTGATTTTTCTTCAACATCAGAACTTAGAAACCCTGAATGTTTATATTGTATGAATCACAAGGACTTAGATTTCAGTAAGAGAGCAGGAAGGAGAAAAAGTCTACGTAATAGAGTTAAGTTAAAGGTACATTTTAGGTGACTAGACAAGCTCAGTAGGAAAGCAATTTAATCGAGTGCTTTTTCTTCTTCACATTGGATGACAAGAAACATAAGAGAAAACCCTTGGGACCTTTGTCTTAGCTTGACTAGTCAGAGTAAGTTGGGTTCTTGTTTGCTTGTTTGTTTGTTGGACTATCATCTGAATAAGCAAGAGTATTTCAGAGCCAAGAAGACCGTCTCCTTTCTGTGTAAGACAGGTTGTCCATGCTCCTCTTTGCCTATGGGCTGGGAAAAAGACTTCTACATATTAAGTCCACATTTTACTTTTCAGATAGGAGAGACATTGATTTCACAAATAATTCATTTTAAAGGATTTTGGTAAGTTGTCAAACTGTCTTTCAGAATGGGTAGTCTTTCTAAAAGACAAATCTAATTACCTTATTTTCCTGGTTAATCTTGAAAAGGCTTCCCTTGTTTTCAGGAAAATGGCTAAACTTTTTCGCTTAGTGTACATATAAGGAATTTCAGGATCTCCCTCTGGTCTCTCCAGCTTCATCTTACCCTACTTCCCAGACCATTTTTCATATTTCTCATACTTAGGGTTTCCCAAATGCCTCATTATTTTGTATTAGTTCATGTTTTAGTACTTCCAGATCTCCTCTTCTCTCCCAGAAACGCCTGCCTGCTCTCCCTTCCCCTATTTCCCTGAGGCTAGTCCTACTTTTCTTTCAGGATTCAGTTCAGGTGGTCATCTCTAGCCTGTTTAGTTCCCTCCCGCTGTGCAAGACAGCTGACTTTCATTTCTTTCCCCACAGCATCCTCTGCTAACTTCTCTCAAAATGCTATATTGAACTATAGTTGTTGATTCTTGCCATCTCCTTGAAAACAAGGGGTATTTTTAAGATTTACATTTGTACTTCTAGTGCATAGCAGTCATACAGGATCCGGATTGTTGAGCCAAGGATTTAAATTCACCATGTCTCCCCTTTTCTTCATCACACGACATAATCCCTTCCTTCCTGCTTTTTAAACACACATCAAGGCTAAGTCTTACTACTAATCACTGAAGGGAAATAGAGCCAAGGCTGGTAAAACAATAAAACACAACACTGGGAACTTATAAAAATTTAATACATGTTCAAAGTAATTATTCCTTCTTGTTTGGTCATGTAAATGGAATAAACACTGTGTTTCTGAAAGCCTGAAAGTCAAGGTTTCTTTTTTTGATGGTTTGGAGTAAGTCTCTCTTGGGTTCTATTTATTTTTTTGTTTAGTAGTCTTCAAGGTAGAATGACTTGTGTGAATCCTTAGGCCATTTTAATGGCCACTTCAATAGTGGTCCCAGATTTCTGTGGAAAATGTACATCCCAGAGGAGTTTATCTATGTGTGTTTCTTTCATCTCCCATATACACTGGGGGAAAGGTACTAATCAAAGAAAGCAAACCTTCCACTGACCCCACCCCTCTACCCATCTCACATGTTAGTCCTTGATAGAAAAAAAGTCTCATTTGGCCCTGGGTTGAGTAGCATTTCTGGGAAAGAATGAACTGTTCCTTCTCAATCTATAGGCTGCACTATCACTGTTGCACTTTGATCTCATCCTTGGTGCTTTATGGTCTGACTAAAATATAGTTCCTAAAATGTTGAAGATGGTTCTATATTCAGGTTAAGCAACTTCTACACTTATTATTCTGATTCAGTATTAATGTCTTCTCTGAAAATTCACTGTGATTTTGGTAAGATATGCCACGGTTCACTGAATCCTTCTGATGGCCAGAAGTGGGTTTCCCTTGACTCTTCAGAAACACATGGTCTGAAGGCAGAACACACGAACACATTATTCAAATATTTCCATTATATCTGCAACAGTAGGAAGTAGCAGATACAACGGTGCAGCTGCACATTTGCTGAAATCCAGCTAACTGAAAATGATTTACTAAAGTGAAATGGTTCACGAATGGCAAACATTCAAGGAATGAGATACTGAGGACTACGGAACTGTTTTTGTGTAAGAAAAATACAAGAAAATCTTTGAAAAATGTATAGAAGAAGAATTTTAAAATGTAAACACGTTACATATAACACCTGCACGATGCATTCTAGTAATTGAAATAATGAAAGCTTCAAAGTACCACAAAATTTAATAGAAACAAGCAAATTTATTTTTAATAACATTCTTAAATCTGCCCATCGAGATCATAGTAGATAGCCATTTAAGAATTTTTATTTTATTGAAATTAGAATTTTACATACAAAATCAGCTACATAACTTTATTTTCAAAAACAATAAAAACTGTTCTTATTTACTATGGAAAAATATGAACCATTCTGATAAATGAAAAAAATTAATGTGAACAAGATAGAATGGTTTTCTTCTTATTTGCTTGGTTGTCTCTCCTATTTTTATTCCTACAAATTAAGAAAGTCAGAATGATTTTATTTGTTTCCGTGTCTATGGTCTAGTTTGAAACAAATGTGGATTACTTTGGTATCTGCTGAAACATAAATGAGAAGGTTCTTAAAGACTGAATAAAACATTAGGCTGGGTGTTCTATATTTTGGAAACTGAATAAACAAAACTAAGTGGAGCTTGTGGTCACAGACGATTTTTCATTTTTCTTCCTTTGCCCATATGAAAATACATTAATAGAAAATTACCAATGGAAAAACACTTTTAAATTTATGTTACATTCCTATCAACTTTAATAATAATGCTCAGTTAGCAATTATATCAATTTCTTTCAGTCAGTATTAATACTTTGTCTGGAATTAGAGGTAGACTGATATTTGTATTCAAACATTTTGAACCACAGAGTTTTAAGTGCCATATAAGGAATTATATAAAATAGTACTTTTTTGATACTTGAGATTTAACTATTATATTCAAAATAAATTTCTTTTTGATATATAATAAATTGTTGCTTAAAACTCATGTGCTTGAAATTATTACTCTAAGGAACTATTTGTTACTTTTAACTACCAATAGTCTTTAGAAAACAAGAATACCTATTTTCTTATAAGGATTTTCATTTTTGGAAAAAAATAAAGTTCCAATGACTTCAATGCACTTACGGATCCTCCCATAACAAAGAATTAGGTGCCAGAGTGACTACTGATACAAAAAATATAACATTTAGAAATGCAAACTGGTTAAAGAAAAATACTTGTATTACATTTTTAGTTATTCTAATGTTAAAATGTGACTTATACCTCTTAAGAAGTAACTTTTATTTTTTCTCTTACTTGTTAGCATCTTGTGTTAGAATAGACTCCAGCAGTGTATGGGCCCCTCCGGTATTCTTCTGTACCTGTAAAGGCATCCCCTGAAAGACCCAACCACATAAAAGTTCACTCTTGTGGGGGATATGGGAGGCCCTCTATCTGCCAGAAATAAGAGCAAGGGCTTAGAAAAAAACAAAAATTGCAAATTTCTGTATTTTAGGTTTGAAGCATTCTCTATTAATTTTAAAATCCACGATTTTTATTTGTGACACCAAAGGGTTTTCTTTCCCTTTTTAAAAACACACGACCAGGGCACCTGGGTGGCTCAGTTGGTTAAGCAACTGCCTTCGGCTCAGGTCTTGATCCTGGAGTCCTGGGACCGAGTCCCGCATCAGGCTCCCTGCTCAACGGGGAGTCTGCTTCTCCCTCTGACCCTCCCCCCTCTCATGCTCTATCTCATTCTCTCTCTCAAATAAATAAATAAAATCTTAAAAAAACCCCAAAAAACACATGACCACATTTTAAGGTTCTGCCTAATATGTATATAACTGTAAGGATGTCACTTGAAATCTAACAACACAACAAATGAGTCCTTTTCTAGAGATGAAAGATTTCATAAAATTTATTCTTCATTCAGCATCTGAAAATAAACCTGAAATAGTAATTTTTAGAATTATAATGTGAAAAAGAAGTCTTCCATGGTTGAACCCAATTTACAAAAATTTCACATTTTTCTAAGATTTACACTGAATACAACACTACTGTTTAAACTGAATTGTGTGGGTGTGTGTATGTGTGTGTTATTGGGGGAAACCGAGGATTGTGAAGTGAATATTTTTTGGTAACCACTCACTTTAAACTTTGGGAAAAATGTTTACTATATGACAAAAGTAAATTAAGATCATTACTCTTCTGTCACAGATGATTTCCTGGACATGAGAACAAGGTCTTTAATGGATGAAGAAAGTTCTTGAAGCTCTTTACGAGTAGTATTGGTGATATCTTCTTGTTCTTTGTCCAATTCATCACTCGAGGGATCATCTCCCTGTCCAGTCTTCTTATTTTGACTAACTAAATGCTTTACAACTAAACCTTGATACTTTACCAAAAGAGTATGCTGATCCTGTGAAAAGAGAACAGAAGAAAAGTTAACAAACAGGATTTAATTTTCTGTAGAACAAGCTGGATTTGTTCAACCAATACACAGTGAAGGTCTTCATCTTTACAAATCACTGGCCATGTAAGTAGAAAGCTGAATCCAGCAAGGTCCTTGCTGGCAAGGAGTTTACAGGTGAGGGGTGATAAAACACGAATACAGATCATTTTAATGTAAACTGACTTAGCTAAGTTCTATCACCAGAGATTAAATCAAAGTGATATGGAAGTTCAAAGAAGCCAGATTCCTTTTAGCTGAGAAATTTCTAGGAAGAATTTGTGCAGGGTAAGACTTTTGGAACTAGTCCTTGAAGGACAGGTTAAATTTGCATAAACTGAAACGGAAGACTTCTTTTTACCAATAGATCTTCTAGAATCCCAAAAGATTCTTGATCTATGCTGAGTTTTTAAAAATCAATCTTCAGATTCACTGTTCACATTCTCAGAACAGGAAGTCATATTAATACGTTTTGTGTCTTATTGTTCATGATGATTCACATCTATCCATTCAAAATATGCAGAATCTAAAAGCTTGAAAAGTTTCAAATGCATGGAAAATGTAATACCTCTGGAATTTTACTATTAAGAAAAGCAATGATCTGTGGGACACATCTTCCAGGTGCATGGAGCATGCTGTGGGTTGAGAACTGAAACAGAAGGACTGCTGTGAGGTGCAGAATAAGAGCAGGGTCTTCTGTGACTTTTAGCTGTTCAGCCAGTGCTTGTCGATGCTGGAACAGTATCTGCCTAAACAAAAATAAAATCACAAAAACACATTCTCATATTTTAACAAGCTCTCACCAATTTTAGTTCTTCCCTTCGGTAATCATTTTTAGCTTCTCTAGTTTAATTATCTAGCTCCATAAACATCTTAAGGGACATTTGAAATATGAAATATAGACACACTTAACCCTAAATGCTGTGGATAAACTAATATGCTAGAAAATGATAGAGAAAACTACGTAGCAGGGATCCTCAAGGTGTACTTTTTATTTTGAGTTGTTGGGAATCAAACAGAAGTGTACTGATATAGGTAAGATTTCCTGTAAAGAAGGTCTCAAAGCTAGTATGAAGTTCCCAGGCTTGATCAACTATGGGATTAGGGAACCTTGCTACCTTATCGATACCAGTCAGAGAGGACCACGTATATACTGAATATGCTCAAAGGTATGCAGCCATTTGGATACAAGTGTTCTCTGTGCAAGATTCAGGTAGTCAAATTCCAACTTCGGATATGAAATATCACACATCTAAGAATTTATTAATAATATAGATTAATTCAATGTTACCTTTCCCTTTTTTTGTCTCCCCTTTTCACCATAATATCGCAAGCTTCTGCTGCAGAATCCAGACAAGAAAGGAAGTCTTCTATGCTCTGAAATGGTATTTAATGCCACCATTTACTTTTATTAACAGGTTGCCTAAAAAATATAGCCACTCAGTAGTTTTATAATTTTACACCCGAAACATAATTTTTAAAAAGGTCATTTTGTTATTAAACTTGAAATTGTGATTTAGGAGAAAATGTTCCTGGTCTGTTCTCCCCCTTCACCTCCCAAAGAGATTTAGTTTACACTTATTCTGATAAAAATCTACTCAAAGATCACAAATTCTAGCCCCATTATCTAAACAGAATCAAACTTTACTTACCTTTTCATTCAGAGAGCTATGGAGTTTTGTGAGAGCTACTTTGGTTTCTTCTGATAATTTACTTAAAATTTTTTTTCTTACCTGTAAGGGGAAAAAACTCTTTTGGGATTGTGACTTTGACATGTGGTAGATATAAGATCAAACAAAAGAAAACAAAGTATATTTACTACTATAATAGAGTACTGAATGGAATTGATCTTTGTTTTTGAATTTTAGCTTTCAAACTAGGGACAAAAATACGCTAAAAACATTCTAAAATCGGAGAGCTAGCCAATAGCCAGTCAGCCAATCAGGCTAGATATAGCCCTACCCCTCCCTTCTGGCCCAGCAGCAAAGAGGAAGATGGGGGGCGAGGGGGTGGAGAGAAAACCATTCATCTTGTGGGGAAAAGAGAATTTGGGGTAAGAGGCTACTCCCGCTCTCTTCCATCGGGGTAGGAAGAGTGTTCTTCCCTAATGCCAGATGAGGGGGTTCCCACTCATAAGTTCCAGAATGCCTATAAACTAGAGAACTTGCTCCACGGATGGCTGCTTGTTATACTATATGGTGGGTGGAATCTTTTCGGCACCCCTCTCCACATAGATGTGTCTCGTGAAATATGATGGCATTCTTGACCAGAGTCTGATGGCCTTACCAAGTGTGAAATTTCTGGTGGATGCCTAGTGGAATAGTTTGGCTGGCAGGTCCTGCAAGTTACAGTGAGTCTTGGAAGACCAGGGAAACCTGACTCCCTGTCACATGCCACACCAGTTCTTCTGTGCCCTGAAGGGCACGGGATGGGACCCCATGTGTTTCCCACAGCAGAGGTTAGCACAGAGGCAGGATATATGGAACTGTCCAGGCAGTTGGAGATTCACTGCTTGAGCTGAAGACGGGAAGGGGGACAGTACTTTGCTGGGGTAGGAGGGAGAAATAAATGTATCTCTGTTTGGAGGTTTAGGGGAGGTCCCTGCTACAGGGGTTGTCACATGCTAAAAAAACAGGCCCCAAAACAATCTACACCACCGATGGGGCAAGAGACACATCATGAGGCCACAGCATTGGATCTAGATCATAACCAGTGATATGCAGTCACTCCTATGAAACACTCTTGCCTCCTTCATTTTTCCTAAATCTCCAACGTTAAGTGGATCTACAGGGATAGAGAAGAAGAGGAGGAGGAGGAGTGTTAGGGACAGATCACACCTTTCCTTCTTGAAGCAACTGGGAGCCATCGCTCTACCTTACATTTTGAGACAGGAAGAAATGAACTTTGACTTTAGTTTGAGATTAGCATTTTAACAAATAAACTGCAATTCATCTAAACATTGAAATGAGATGGCGTCACTACATGAAAATGACTACAAAGTTATGGAATCTGGCCACAAAACAGTCAAGGGATCGGCAACTCAGCAGGAAAAGGAGATGTGACATAACAATAATTAGGAAAAAATAAAAGTGTTGATTCCAAAGTAATTAAGCATTATTACTTTCAACAGACTGATTATATCACCAATTTAAACTAAAAATCTGATAGATTTTTTTCCCCTAAAAACCCTTTCCTATATTTTACTTTCCTTCAGACTACTTTTGATGTGAGAAAATAAAATATGCTTTTATTTCAAAACATAATACATCAAGAAGGCAAGACAATCACTATCATACTTCACTTGTAATGGCTGCAGGATCATCTACTGCCATCATTAAATCCGAAGCTAAGAAGTTGAAAATGAGGTTAGTGATGTCAGTACATATTGTCTTCAGCAAGTGCTTTGTAAGAGCAGCCTGTGTATCATCTGGAAAATAAAGGTGCTTTATTAAAATGAATGTCCAGGAACAATGATGAAAATCAATGAAAAAATAGTCTTAAGTATACCTGTAAAGAACTTCAGCCCCTTTTCAAACAGCCGAATATTATTGTATAGGTTTGAAACCTCTTCTTGCAAGTCCTTGATTGTGCGCTTTCTACCAGTTCCAGAGGCAGAAGAAGTTGAAGACATGAACACTGAACGTACCACCTCGAGATAAGTTTTATTAAGAGGTCTGTGCACAAGATAAATATATTTAGTTTATTAAAACACACTGGATTTATGCATATAAGAAATTTTGCTTCTATGGAAGTAAGCCTTAAGAAAATACCTCTATATTTTTTAAACAAGATTAATTTGGGGAATAGTTCACAAGCATTTGTCCTCTAATCCTAGGACTTATAACTTAAATGCATTATTTTTCTCAGTTTTAAAGTACTCAAAATTATTGCACTAATGACAGTAAGGAGGGCGCCTGGGTGGCTCAGTTGGTTAAGCGACTGCCTTCGGCTCATGGTCATGATCCTGGAGTCCCGGGATCGAGTCCCACATCGGGCTCCCTGCTCTGCTTCTCCCTCTGACCCTCCTCCCTCTCATGCTCTCTGTCTCTCATTCTCTCTCTCGCAAATAAATAAAATCTTAAAAAAAAAAGAAAAGAAAAGAAAAGAAAAGACAGTAAGGATAGCAGTAACAAAAGCTTCAATTCAAATTCAGTCCGAAGTAATTTTTAAAAGTTCATTTGGAGAATAGGACATAAATCTGTTCCCTATTCACAGGAATAATAAATTCTCAATTTCTAAAGTTCTATAAAAGATATTAAAACTTTTTATGCTCAACAACTTCAGAAGAGATTATTTTAAGTAATGGCAAATGGTTAGTAGTAACTATCTTCTTACATATGAAAAATATGATTATGTACTGTATTCATGCACAAAAAATATTCAGTGAAATGAAAAAAAATCTCACTACAAAAGCTATATTTCTAAATTCAAAGCTAGATGCACTGGGCTCCTGGATTGCATTTATAGACGCTTACACAATGGAACTAACTTGAGGGAAAATCATGTTAGTAACGGTAAAGTTATACACAATTTCTTTTACTTCTGTATAAAAATAAATTTAGCTTGGCTCAATTACAAGCTAGTGCTGTCTAAATTTGTTCTCTGAACACAGTTTGTTACTTTCTTTCTCCCTAAAAGTGCACTGTTTATCCTCTGTCAAATCTAGATAGAAAATGGTCTTTTCTTTCTTTTAGATATTACTTTTTTATGCTATGTCAGAGAGCAGCCAGTGACTGGCGTTGGTGTTTTTCTCCCACCTAGGACTGAAACATCAGTGACCGAGGATGCCTCCGCACTCTCGCCTTTTATTTCCCACACTGCCTCGCCCAAAGCACTTACACGTCTGTTGAACAGAACAGCAAACAGCAAACAAAATCTGGAATTTGGTGGCTAGATTAAATTCTAAGCTTTGAAAAGAAAAGACTTAAAAGCTATGCTTTCCATGATGTTGGTGAAAATTTTATTTAATAACTCATTGAATTTCTATCATAAAACAGAAAAAATATGTTTTTATACTTACTTTATTAAGTGCTCAGCGAGTTCAGAAATAAATTCCTCAGGGGCATCTTGTACGTGTTTTCTTAAAACATCTTCAATCTCATCCTGGAACATAAAAGTGATCTCTGGCTTCTTCTTTCCTATAGCAGAAATGCACAATAGGAAAAAACAACAAAAACATAAAGCAACCTAAAAGCAAACAAGGTTCATTAACATATTTAATGGTAATTAACTTACCATTAAGATGGTAATTCATTCATAGACATTGCCAGTGTCAGATAGCAATAACCAATGAAAACAATTTTAAAAATAGGACACATAGTGGCATTTCTTTTGAGTAATAATTTTCTAACTTTATTTAATGACTGTTCTAATGTCAATCAGAAAATAATAAAGATGATTTTCCCCCTGATCTAACTTGGATGATGCAAATAGTGGAAAATCAAAATAATCAACTGGATGGAAAAAAAATCTTTTAAGAAAAAGGTAACTTCTCTTTGTTGAACAATGTATACTGAGCAGAATTTCCTTCTTTATAAAAATGAACAGTTACTAAAAATCAAATCATCCTTATAATTTACAGAAGATCTTCAGGAAAAGCCTCTATAATCATGTGAATGACAACTCCAGTAGAATTAAGCTAAAAATTATCTTTTGGGAAAGGCAAAGATGAAAAAAAAACCTCATAATTTTACACTCATCATTTATTTTTCTTCTTACAAAAATAATTCTATGCCAGGAAAAATTTGTACGCAGCTACTGTAATGGAAATAATCGTTAAGTGTGGAAATGTCATGCCTCCTCACCGACTTGGATAAGCACGGGTTGCAAAGAAAGCTAACAGTATTTCCATTATTAATATTGTAAAAATATAAAAGTGATTATTTCCAGCTAGATTTGATTATTGTAAAACCTTAGACATAAAAATAAAAAAACAGTAAAATAAATAAATTAAAAAATAGCTCAAAAATCGGTAAGTAAGTTGACATCACGGCTTTAGAACCGATGGACACGTTAGAACAGATCCAATATCCTTTCTTTTTGAGATCTGCTATCCATTCCTGGACTTTCACATCACATAGTTTCTGCTTTCTCTGTTTGCTTCCTGCATGCATTTTATAAGTTATTAAATTATATTTCCATCTAGTAATCTTTCACACTGAGTTGATGCTGTGATTTAGCTGGGAACCTAATTACATCCCCCATTTCAGAGATTATAACACAACCCCCTTTCAAAGGCACTGAAATTATATCTTTTTAGGTAGAATGGTTTTACTACCTTTATAGCCCTTCTCCATAATCTGTGCACAAAAGGAGTATCACATGCCTCATTTAACAATTACTTAAAGCTACAGATATTAGAGAAGTATTTTATGAAATGCCCCTTCTCTCCCACCCCTAGTACATCTGGGGAATAGAGAAATTCATTTATCAATGAAAACTTAAAACCCACAGAGGACAGTCTTAATACTATTTAAAATAAGAACAGGGCTAGTAGTTTCTATGAAGATCATTTTAATTAATATTGTTTTATGCATGTTGAGAACAGTAGCTCTTTTGACCTGTCTTTATTATTCTTCTTTACCTAAAGCAAAGAATACGTTAAAGATAGATCTGAAGCGATGATGCTATCACTAGTCCTAGCCCATTAATGGCCAAAGCCGTGTCACTTGATACCTATACCTCCCAGCTCGAGCCCACACACAACGAGCTCTGTGGAAGAGGTAAAATAAAAATTTCAAATGATCATCATTTCAAGTTTTCTTCTCTTTTTACTGGGGAAAAAGAAAACGGAGGTATCATAGATTCATTTAGTAAATTTATTTAAAACACAATTTATAAAAGAATCATAATTTTATTTAGAAAAACTAACAGCTCTTGCTGACTTAACAGTACCAAATGCGAACAAGTGTCCAAAAAAGAAGATGCATATGCTTAATTCTCCCCCTTAGATAGAAGCAACCAACCAATTAGATGTTACCATAACACTTAAATATGCATAAGCTCAATGTTTCCTACTTGAATATGCAGAAACCCACTTGTAATAAAATATTGTAATTTGTTTTGTAGGGCAGTGGGAAACCATAAAAATGACTATGCAAGTTGAAACTGTGCAAGGTGGGCTCTCTGCTCCTTGGGAGCCTGCTTCTCCCTCTGCCTCTCTCTCTGTCTCTCATGAATAAATAAATAAAAATCTTTAAAAAAAAAAAAAAAAGGGCGCCTGGGTGGCTCAGATGGTTAAGCGTCTGCCTTCGGCTCAGGTCATGATCCCAGGGTCCTGGGATCGAGTCCCGCATCGGGCTCTCTGCTCCTTGGGAGCCTGCTTCTCCCTCTGCCTCTCTCTCTGTCTCTCATGAATAAATAAATAAAAATCTTTAAATAAAAAAAAAAAAAAGAAAAGAAACTGTGCAAGGTGTTCTTAACAAACAATGGGAAAACTTATGACTATTCTGTGATTTTTTAAAAAAATGTCTGTGAAAACATTAAGAGCTCTTACTGTTGGTTATAAATGTAAAGGGAAATGAAAAAGAAAACTAATACTTAAAATTTAGTATACTGTAATTTAGCTTATCAGAAACACTGGGCAACAAAGTATTTTATTTCTTTGTAAAAAATTTATCAAAAATAGTCTGAACAGCGCTTGCCTTCTTCTCAGGCTGTAACTTACAGAGCAAGCATCTTTTCTATGCCTTGGCAAGTTGTCATTCTCCTTTTTTAACTCTGGATCAGCTCACAACATTTTATCCTTTGCCCTTTCAATGTTGTGAAACATCTCTGGGAATTCCTTTAATATGAAGTTTTCTGCCAACTACACATCCTCTAGGACATTTTCATCCTCTCCGTCACAACCACTTTCCCCATTTGGTCAGTAAGTGCCTCTGCCAAGCTCCTGTGGCTGCATACCTAGTCTCCTGAACAGTGGCAATGCCAACATTCCCACAGTCAGCTAGTTCTTCCCGAACACCATTTATTCTTGATTCATATTTTACTTCCAGTGTTATCACTTTTCATTTCTTGGCTGCATTTTCATCTTTGCTGGCCAGTTCCCTTTTGATTATCCATTTGGCAAAATGTCATAGGGATTCATCACTGGGAGACAAGGAGGCAACATAACTACATGGTTTGTTGTCTGCGCATAAAGTGAAGAAGAGACGCACAGGGATCAATCACTGACAGACTTTGAAACAAGTGATGTGATTGTCATAGCTCATGATGCACATATATTATTTATGTGCTGATCAATGGCCTGAGGAGCCAGCAGCATTGCCTGTACTTTATACAAGTACTCATTGTTAATACACCCTGGTAACTAGAATATGAACCATGTTGATGGGGGCCTGGTGTTATCAACTAAGCCGTGGTAACTGAAATTCGTGTGCAAAACTGTGCACAGCAAGAACTTCTTGCAGAAGCATATACATCTAATGGTCTACATCTTAAGAAAATGTTTGCAAAATGACACACTCTCAAAGGAAAAGTAAATTAAAGCTACACACCAGTGTGAGATGACTCATCATCACTATCCTCTTCTTTTCTTCCTTTCTTCTTGATTTTTTTAATTTTGTACTCCCTGGCATTACCACCACCACCTCCTCTCACACTTCCACTGCCCTCTGGTGGGAAATGACATTAGTTAGTATTAGCTAACTGGAGATTTTTAGAAAATGATGACACTATATTGTCATATTTAACTGTACAGCAGAACAATAAAAGCCAAATAATTAAACTTTTAAAAGCTGCTATTTAAGGTGGGAGCTTTTTTTATTACAACAGAAGTTTTGTAATTCAGTCAATAAAAACTTAGTAAAATGTGAAACCTCTTGAATTTGAGCAACTCACGTAGATAGCTTACCTGCTCTAAAGGCAGGCTCTTCCACAGTCTCTTCTTCCTTCACTAAGGATACCTCTTTTCTATAGCTTTGTCTGACTTTGTCTTGGCCAAACCCATTCCTTTACCGCTTCTTCTACCTTCCCCAGAAGAAATGTGCCCTCACTTGCTCATCTCTGTTACTACAGCCTCATTAATATCCCCTATTACAGTACTTCACAAGTTTAATTACCCTTGGTTTTGTCCTTTTGGTTGAAAGATTATGTTTATAGGAGACATCCTGAGTCTCCCACCACCCAATGAGACAATGAACTTCTTGAAAACAGGGAGCATGTCTCACTAATGTTTGTATCCTTGGGGTTTAAGCAATGCTTGACATATTAAAAGGAGCTCGATAAATGCTGACCATGAATATTAAGTTGGATGAGTAGAAAAATATAGTTATCAATCACCTATTGGCTAAAGAAAGACGAAAAAAATACAAATTATGAGACAAACTAAAACACTGTAAATAAAAGTAATGTTGTTGAGATATTTCTCTGCTTTACATATTTACATTTAAAGTATCAATTCAACAAAATAGAATACTTATCTAATAATAGGATTGAAACACCGAAAAATATTGAAAATATATTTCTTCATAAAAGATTAATTTTCCATAAAGTAAAATGACATACAAACTACAGATTTTTTTAAGTTCTAAGTACAATTCCTTTAAATTTCATCATGTCCTATAATTGTAAGTTCTAATAATTTATTTTCCCTTGCTTTTATGATAGAAAAAACAATTCTCTGGGTGATAGACATTGGGGAGGGTATGTGTTATGGTGAGCGCTGTGAATTGTGTAAGACTGTTGAATCACAGACCTGTACCTCTGAAACAAATAATACATTATATGTTAAAAAAAAAAAAAAAGAAGAAGATAGCAGGAAGGGAGAAACGAAGAGGGAGAAATTGGAGGGGGAGACGAACCATGAGAGACTATGGACTCTGAGAAACAAACTGAGGGTTCTAGAGGGGAGGGGGGTGGGGGGATGGGTCAGCCTGGTGATGGGTATTAAAGAGGGCATGTATTGAATGGAGCACTGGGTGTTATATGCAAACAATGAATCGTGGAACACTACCTCAAAAACTAATGATGTAATGTATGGTGATTAACATAACATGATAAAAAAAGATAACCTTGGAAATAAAAAAAAAAGAAAAATACAATTCTCTCAAAATCATACATTTGGCAATAAATTTCTCAGAGGGAAGACATTTAAATCTGACATTATTCCATGCACTATATCTAAACTATTATGATATGACAGTACTATCCTTGAGATGATGACCAGATGACTCTGAATTTTTAGAAGGAAATAAAACAGACTAGCTATTCTGACATAAGTGCAACCAATGGCTTAAGGTGAATTTATAAGCATATCTTCAAATAATATGATAAAATATGCATGGCTGTGAATACTACCATGATTTATTAGAGTATGGTTTTCCCAGAAAAATACAGAGAAATTTCAAAGTATCAAAATTGAAAGATATTTTAGAAAAAGGTTTTTGAAGAGGAAAGAAACAATCTCAAAGAAAACAGAGTGAATTCCCACAACAAAAATGAAGTTTTTATAACACATCTTCAATATAGGTATATTAATGAAACATGTTGAATATCTAGTTTCTTTAACTCTGATGCAGGACTAATAAAATCGTTCCTACTATAAAAAGTATGGAAAACACATGTTAATTTCCAAATGCAAGTTACTAGTATACCAGTGCTACCTAGAATAATTTCCAGTGATTCTTAATTAAAAAAAACAAAACAAAACAAAAAAACAGAAATGAGATCTCCTTGGGAAATTCATTCATTCAATAAATAATTTATAGAACATCTAAAATACATCAACAAGTGCTCTAAGGACTAGGGAAGCAATAAACGAGATGGACAAGGTTTCCAAACAAAACACAAGACAGTGATAAAAGCGATACAAAAAAGACTGGAAGATAATATGATGGAGAGTGACCATGTCTACCATTCCAGGTGGTGAGGGAGGCCTCTCTGAGGAACTGACATTTAAACTTGAGCTCTGAATTAGAAGAAGAAATCTGTTACCTGAAGTTCGAGAGAGAACATTCAGGGAGAGGGAATAGCTAATGCAAAGGCTCTCAGGTAAACACAAACTTGCCAAATCTGAGAATCCAAAAAAAAAAGGCTACTGGGCTGGAATATAGACGGTGAGGGGGCAAACAATGGGACATGGGCCAGGTCATGAAATTAACTTAGTTCTCACAAAATAAAAAAAGAATAAGTAACCACTAATATTTCCATTTTCATAATAAATTTAATTCATTAAGAAAAGATTTGACTAATATTAACAGTTGAAGATAAATCCCCTTCAAAGGGCCTAATAAATGTAGAGTTCACTGCAACAAATAAAACTCATCTTTGAATCTTCTTGGTTAATAATAATTTATTACCTGTTGCTTTTCTCCTTCGTTCATCTTTTTTATCCTTTTTACTTGTATTAATGCTTTCTAAAATGGAGACCTGTTTCAGATCATCTTCAGTGATTAAATGAACAGGATTATTTTTCATTTCCTGAAATAAAACATGTTTTTGGTAAGCAAAAATATATGGCATTACAGAAAACATAAAATAAAAGTTATTTACATACTCAATTATTATTACTCATCCTAATTATTCTTGTTCGCTCTTTTTGCTAAGAAGGACTATAGAGCCAGGTCCAACAGTTGCCCCTCTGAAACTATTTCTCCTTGCCAAAGATCAGTCTCTTCCCTTGCTGTTCTTAACTTTTTGATTCTGTGATCAAATAATGAAAAATCCTATCCGGTCCCTGAAAAACTGATCACACATCAGATGCAACCTCTTCAGCTGATTTGGCTTCTTTTAACCACTGCTTACTAGGTGACCTTGCTGTTCTTCTTTTTGAGGCTTCCAAGTCCAGTGCCACTTGGCTAACTGAGAATAACAAAATCTCCATCCCTCACCCTAACAGAACGACCATGTAGGATGAGTTGGCACACTTAAATCATATAAACTGTTTTTCCTCTGGACTCATTCCTGATCTCTGCTTTTTAAAAATTTATGTTTTAAAAAAAAACATAAAAAATTATGTTTTCTGAACTATTTCCATGTTCAGAAACTGTTTTTTCAACATGGGACAGGGTTCTAAATCTGTACTGACAAAAGCACATTTTCATGTTAAAAATGGCATTTCCTTTTTGGTTTCCTGAAGGAAAATGTTTAGAATGTTGACAGTTCAAACAACAGAATCAATTTTTTTCCCTCAAATTATTTTTGTAGTTGCAGGGAGGAGCACAAAGAAATAAAAATTGATGACCATGTTTTTATTTTAGTGTAAATAAATAATGTAGCCATTTAGTGACTTGGAGCTAAATGTGCTAGACATTTTGTATACATCCATCCTTTATTTAAATTTATCTTTAGAAAGGAGGCATCATCACCCTTTCTTTGAAGATGTGGAAACTGGAGATCTATTTGTCCAAAGTCAAAAAGAGTAAAAAAGTTGAGACTGGAACTCAGGTGTACTGGTATCAATCCTATGTATTTTTACTCTTCTCTGCTGCCTGGCAGGCAAGACACAGAAAATTATCTCTCTTTTTTTAAACTATTAAAGAGCTTAAAAGGAATAGAGAGGAATACAAATTACTTACATACTTAATAAGCTCTCACGGATTTATTAACAGTCTAAGATAAATGTGCTTGTTCCACCTATCCGTGAGCAGGCTTTATAAGTAGATGGGGCTGCTAACTAGAAATATGAATTAAATTTAGGTCATTAAAGCAGGCCTGGCAGGACCGCTGCTTCTAGACACTTTGACAGCACTTGTTCTGAGGAGCTAATCAATTTCTGATAGTAACAATTTCTTTCCTAAGTTATCCCATTTCTGCATCCCAAATAGGTAAAATTAATAAGGCTCTACCTGATTTAGTAAATATATAGTGTAGTGATTGATTGATATACTGTATATTTATGCCTATAATCCACAGACACCATTTTTGTGGATTTTAATGTTGGACTAATACCTTTAGGTGACTTAACTGTGAAGTGTATAATTTCATTTATATGATTTCAATTTATAAAATCAGCTCCCTAAGTTCTAACTTATATGTGCTGATGGGAGTGAAGAAGGGGAAAAACAAATCAAGAAGAAAAAGACAGGAATGATGCATTAAAGGAAAATGATGCATGAAACACAGTGTTCACTTTTGGGGATATGCTGCATACTCCATTTTTCAAAAGATGTCAGATGATTCTAATGTGAAAATCCTGTTAAGATTAGTAAGGGAAAGGAAATCTGGCATACCTTTTCAGCTTTCTGGTGCATCAGTCCACTGAAGTGTTCTGTGCAGTTATTTATGAATTTTTCGCTGACTACAACAGTGTCGCTAAAGACTACAGCTGAAGCTTGCTTGCTGAATGCTCTCATCACCTGTTGAAGCAACATGGCAGCATCTTCAACTGATAAAGAACTGGGTAACAGAGGCTAGAATCAGAAACAAAATGAAAACAAGTATAAATACAGTATCACAGAGACAAACCATTTTTTACACATATATGCCCTCCCTAGGTGATCTCATTAAGTCCAGTGGCCTTCAGAAACATCTCTATGCTGATAACCTCCCAAATTATATTTCTGCTTTCATCATCACTCTGAGCTCTGGAGTCATATGCCCACTGCCTCCCTAACATTTCTGCTCTTATGCCTAATAGGCATCTCAAATTCCACATGTCCAGAACAACACTGATTGCAGCCGCCTATCCCCCAACACCTAGGTCCCACCCACCCTTCTCCATTGTTCCCCCATCTCAATTAATGGTACTGTTCTCCATGCAGTTGATCAGGACCCAAACCTACATGTCACACTCAATTCCTCTCATAAACCCACAAACAAACCACCATCAAGTCCTGACAACTTTACCTCCAAAATAGATTTCTTAGCTCTTTGGACTATCTGAAATTACCATTTTCATTAACTATCTCCACTTAGGAAACTTGTGTGGGCACCACATTCCCAGCAAGTAAAATGGTTCCTGGCACACAGATGGTACTTAAAATTTGTTGAATGAATAAATGAACACCAAAATCTGGAACCTCTGGAAACTTGTGTATCCAAAACAAGTAATTTTCTACTTTGCCCTGACTAGTAAATAATGGAATGGCCTCTTGTTTCTTTCTCTTCACCTACACTTATCTCTTTGGCATAATAAAGGCAGGTCAATACTGAACACTGAAGTAAAACACTACCAGGGCTAAAGCAGCTCATGTTAATACATGAGCAGAGGTTAATGAATGGATAAGGAATACACAAATACTATATAATGCCTGATGCCAGTAAAGTTGTAAATTCTTGGATAAGATTGTGAGAAATCTCATCAATTTCAATGGCAGGCCTGAAAAGAATGTTACATTGTTTGCTTATTTGTTTGGAGATTTATGGAATTCTGGATGTTGACTATCCATTCTACCTCAAAAGCTATAAAGTCTCTAAGCATAATTAAGATTGTTTTTGCTATAACACTGACCACTAGAATTTGGCTACAAAGCCAAGACTACCTTTATGTATCCTAATACTTAAAATGACCACATACTAGTGAATATCAGTGGTCACTGGTTTAAAGAAAAATTGACAAGAAGAAGATAAAACATACTGCAATATCAACCCATGTTCCGGAGCTGATGGCTTCCTCTACTGATGCTTCCACCTGATCCACAAGTCCTTGACCAACACAAGCTGCTTTCAAAAACAAGAGCTGTGTAGTCTTATATCTTTTCTTTATGTAGCTCACAGCATCTGGGATTCCAAGTCTGGATAAAGCATCAAATTCTAGAAATATATCACAAATAGAAATGGAATAGAATACATTGGAACAGAATTGTCAATCATTCATATCTTTTAGAAGTCTTAGAAAAATTAAGTTCTACCAACACCTATTCTTTGTGAATGCACTTTTTTTGTTTTGTTTTGTTTTAAAGAATAAAGCAGAGAAATGTACCACAGCCTATTTCCTGTTAGGCGGCTCGGCTGGCTACCTTCCCAAATTTTTATTACTAAACATAGCTGTAGAAAAATTAGTTCAAATGCTTCCTCAATCCCAGCTATGTCACACCCTCCTTAATTGAGGGGTCAAAGGGAAACATGAGAACTATAGATCAAAAAAGGAGAAACAGGAGTTAAGGAGAATATAATAATTTATAAGTAAAGAAACAAAATCTGGAATTTATTTTGCTTATTACAGTTAACTAAAGGTATCAGACAACTCAAGACAAAGTAATTCCCTAGTCTAATTTAAACTAGACTTAGCATATAAACTAGACTTAGCATATAAACAAAAGTGAAAAAAAAAAAAAAGACTTAAATTTACAGCCATTAAAGTTATTGGAGAGAACTATTGTATGCTATGCCCCCAAATAATCATATTTAAGAAAATTAATTATAAGGAAGTTCTAATCCAAGTCCATGGCTGAAGAAACTGAAAAGTACATTACAGAAAGCCAAGAAAACATAAGCGAAACCCAGTATTCTAGCATAGATTTAAACTGTTTGAACATTAATATCTTATGGGTTTATTACTGAGAAAGCAACTGATCTCTTACATGATTTGACCTGGGTTATGAAACTGATCAAATTAAGTGAGCTCATGTACATACATAATATATACGTTACACATATGCATATATATTTGCTAATTGTTTTAATGATTAAATTCAGTCAATCTACTTTATCCAAACGACAGAACCTCAGAAACAGAAGCTAGAATAGCTTCAGGTTTTCTGAAGAAGTGGATGACTAATAAAAATGCACATTGTAAAGCTGATAGCCAAAATAAAGTATTTGAAGAAAATGTATCTGAATAACTGGGCAACTTCATAAAATATAAGATATAATAAATAAAATTACTTTTCATGACTTAAAATATACCTGAAGTTGTAATAGTATCATATCACTGGAAGACTGGTAACAATCAATACCAGATTTTGGCCTTTCTACATTACAACTGTTCAATAACTATGAAATTAAACTCAGTTGCAAAACCAACAAAAATGTGTAATTTGGCTACTTTTACACTCAAAGAGAACCATTAAAAGCTGCTGTCAATAGCAGAGCATGTGTGTACTCCCAGCACTAATACAATACTTTCTAAGAATGTGTGCAGTATTAGAAAGAAGTTTTAGTTTCAAAGACAAAAAGAAATAGTTACCTAGATAGCCATTCTGCCTGAAAAAGGAATCCACCCAAGTACTCTGTGTTCTGGAGTAAATGTCAGGGACAAACACTGCCTTATCCTGTCTCCCACCAACCACAGTGCCTCGTAAACGTCCACTATTAACGAGTTCCTCAAGCACAGCTTAAAACAAAACCAAACAAATACAAATAAATTAGAGCAGGTATAAACGTCAAAAAGTAAAATACTATTTCACAATTTAGTTATTCTTACCCTTTAAAAAAGCAATTTAAAGTTTAAATTGCATAAATGAAGACGTTATATTTTAGGCAAAACTTTCCTGCCATTTATGAGAATATTCAGGTCACAAATTTAGGAAATTCTGGCAACTAGCTAAAAGTGCTGAACCTGTAACTGGTTAACATTAACATTTAATAGTTTAGTTAGAGTAATTTGGGGAAAAAAACCCTTGCCATTATTTATTTTATGATATGTTTGAAAGTGGATGACTAAACACTTGGAGAATAGATAATACGCAATCAGTAAGTGTTTCCAAGTTCAAGTTTCTCATATTTAGAAAACTTAAGACACCTGGATCACATTAGAGTCAATTGTGTGAAATAAAGCCATGAAAATTTTTAAAAGTTATTATATTTCTACTGTTTTTTTATGTTATTACATTTCTACTGTTTAAATTGCAGCACATGAAAGAGAAGTATAATGCTGTGGTTAAGAGGATGGATCTGGATCTAGACACCCTTTATGTCCAAATCTCAACTCTGTCACCTACTTGCTGACAAAAACTGGGCAAGTCATTTTACTTATGCTTCCACTTTCTCAGCCATGAAATAGGGATAACAGTAAGTGTCTCCAAGAATTGTGGTATTCAAGTAAATTGCTCAGAACAGTAGCTGGCATATAATAAGCACTCAGCGAATGTTAACTAAATATCACCACCACCACCACCACCACCACCAGCATCATCATTAATCACTATCATCATCATCAAAAGACTGATGCCAGTCTGAGAACTGGATAGTACTGCCGTTAACATAAAATATATGCTTTTTATTTAAACCATAACATTTAACTAAACATTTTATTGTTTAAATATCAAAATCCCCTGAAAAAGACAAAGCAGATAGGAAGGAGTTACTTCTAAGCAAATCAGAAAGCACAGTCAAAAGATGACTGGCAAAGAAACATTTATGAAAATTAGTCTTTATCAGAAATAAAAATTAGCTTGCAAGATTTTGCTCCTGAGTAAATGAGGATACGTTAGAAAAGTCTAGATTTTTCAACAGACTGCAACACATAATTTTAAATTTTGTGGCTGTACAACATAAATCCATGCTAAATTAAGATAAAAGTTATCAAGTTATCAATTACTTGAAGAACTTTACATGAAATCCCACCAATCTCCAATTAGTAGATTCCAATATATGTTACATTTTTAATTTTAAATTTATTAAACAAAAAATCCAAATTTAACTGCATATTTTGAAAAATACAGTGAATTAAAACGAACTTTTGGTTTTATACATGAATTTCTTTTCCAGCCTTCATTTTAATTCTATTTGCACAGATATCTGAGCCAAAAGATTAAGTCATTGTTTTTATTTATTTATTTTTAAAAGATTTTATTTATTTATTTGAGAGAGAGAGAGAGAGAGCACAAGAGGGGGAAGGGTCAGAGGGAGAAGCAGATAACCTGCCGAGCAGGGAGCCCGATGTGCGACTCAATCCCAGGACTCGGGGATCATGACCTGAGCCGAAGGCAGTCGCTTAACCAACTGAGCCACCCAGGCACCCTAAGTCATTGTTTTTAAAAATTATTCCAGCAAGACTTTAAAAAACCCCGGGGCGCCTGGGTGGCTCAGTCGTTAAGCGTCTGCCTTCGGCTCAGGTCATGATCCCAGGGTCCTGGGATCGAGCCCCGCATCGGGCTCCCTGCTCGGCGGGAGGCCTGCTTCTCCCTCTCCCACTCCCCCTGCTTGTGTTTCCTCTCTCACTGTGTCTCTCTCTGTCAAATAAATAAATAAAATCTTAAAAAAAAAAAAAAAGACTTTAAAAAACCCCTCAAAACGTGGTAAGAGCTTCACAAACACACACATAACATAGGTTATGAACCAAGATTATTTTGGAGATATTACAATGCTGTTTGAATGCTAAAAACATATTTTTACTAGTATTATCCTCTTCGTAAAATTTTATTTCTTAAAATATTTTATTTATTTATTTATTAAGTAAGTAAGCTCTATGCTCAATGTGGGGCTTGAACTCATGACCCTGAAATCAAGAGTCGCATGCTCCACTGACTGAGCCAGGCTGGCACCTCTAAAAATTTTTTAGACAAACACTGTTTACTTTCATGTTAGAAAATGTAGCAAGAATCTGTAAGAAACAAAGTGAAAATTATTCTTTAATCCTACAATTTTAAATCTCTCTCTATAAATATATATGCGTAGTGGTATTTTACACACACACACAGTTTTTCATTCTACTCCTTTCGGGGTAGCCAACACTAAATGTTTGGTGGATATAACAGATAGATATATACATGAAAACTGGTATAGGGAAACCTTTCAACTAGAAATATTTTAGTTATGTAAGTTTTAAGGTTAAAAGAAGTCAAAACATGAAAAATTAGTAAGTTTCACATTAATAGTCTATTCAGCAGCTAATTAAGTGACATATAATTTAAAGCAAACTCACAGTAAAGCAGCTGCTCTTGAAATCCATATTTTGAAATGAGAGAATTTACTGCTGTAGGCCTTTATGGAAAGAAATAAAAAGATCTTACTCATTCTAGAATTACACATATTTATGAATTATAAAAATAACTAGGATAACTAGTTTATGAAAAACACCATTTAAAAGAAAAAAAAATGAAGGCAAAAATAATACCAGATTTTACATCCTTAATCAGAATTACACTACTGAAATTCCAGGGGAATTGATTTGTATCCACAATCCAGGAACAATTCACTTTCTCACCAATTTCCACCTCAGATTTAATGATACCTGATCTGCTTTTATTTTATGTTCGTTTTTCTTCATTCTATTCTTTCTCTCTGGGAGGCTCTTTCTCCACCTAACAAGAGTCAAGTGAATGGTATCTGATTCTGTTTTTGAAGAAAAGTGAAATCACACATGTAGTGAAAGGAATCTGGAATGATATACTCCCAGATTAGGTAGATGACTGGGAGGGATCCACTTAAAATGCTCCTTTTTGTTTAGCACTATTTTCTGTAATGACTGTGTTTCTTAAAAAAAAAAAAAAAAAAAGCTCTAATGAGGTATAATTTACATACAATTCAAGCATCTTAATAAATTTATAAAGTTGAGGAACCATCACTATAGCTCTCAAGTCTAGAATGTTTCCATCACCTAAAAAATTCCTTCACAGATGTTTGTAGTTAATTCCTGCTTCCATCCCTTGTCCTAGAGAACCACTGATCTGCTTTCTGCCTCTATAAATTTGCCTTTCTAGAAATTTCATATAAATAGAATCAATATATGTCTCTTATGTCTGGCTTTTTTCACTTAGCATCATTTTGAGGTTCATGCATGATGAAGCATGAATCGGTATTTACTCCTTTCTATTGCTGAATAGCATTTCACTGTATGGAGATACCACATTTTTTATTCATTCATCACTTGATGAACATTTGGACTGTTTCCAGTTTGGGGCTATTATAAATAATGCTGCATGAACATTTGTGTACATGTCTTTGTGTGGACATAACTCTTTATCTCTTTTGGGTAGATCCCTGTGAATGCTTTTCTAATTATCTTTTTTTTTTTTTTAAGGGAAATTATAAAGAAAACACAGACTTTCTTTTTATGACTATATATTTTTTCCCTATTCATTTTAAGCCAATTATGCCTGTTTTCTCGTTTGGGTTTAGTCTATGTTTCTATTTTTATGCATATACCTAAGAGACTTTTAAGTTATTCCAAGTACTCAATTCTCTGTTGATTATTTAAGATGTTATGAATTTTCTCTATGACAAACTTGGGAGAGCAGAAACATTTGTCTGAATATGAATTGATATTTAAAACACCTGTGTTTGGGAATTTTGGCTAAATTATTATTTTCAATTAGCAATAATCGCGCCTCGGACAAACCTCATTGGCTACGATACTGCCATTGTGCAAATTATTATTTTTATCAAACTCTAATGTAGATTTTTTTTTATTAAATTAATTTATCCTAGTGTTTCAGCTAAATTATCTAGAGCCCCCAAACCAATAAGGTCCATTTAAGTGCTTGGTGAAGTTTGCTCTCTGTTTATCTTATAATTATTACAATCTTCTCAAGTTCTATTTTTTGTTTTCTGTTCCCTTCTACCTGAACACATTTTTGAAGGACTTTATCTTAAAATTTCTGCGTGCATAACTTAATTTGGGTTTTCAGTAAATATTTAATTGAACTGCACAAAATTTCTAGCTTTTTTTTGTGTAATAAAACTTAGCTGTTGAATTTTTATTTCAATTTGGAATACAATGTAGTTTAGTATACCTATACATCTCACTGTTCTATTTCCTGATCTTCTTTTTGGCTACCTATAACAGCAATATAAACCCTTTTAAAATCAGAGATGCAGGTGTTTTCTCTGAAGTTAGACCAGAAAAGTGGGGGCCGGGGGGTTCCTTATATTTAAGAGACAAATATGATGATATGGTACATTAAATGAAACTATCTGGGAGTCACACAGCCTAGCAACATCTTTTGAGGCTCAGAATTTGTTTTGCCCTCATGCTTTTTTTTTTTTTTTTTTTTTTACAGTATTGCTATTTTATGCTAAATTAGGTTCTGAGCATATGCATAATACCTCTACACAGAGAAACTGAGGGCTACTGTGAGTCAGAAAAAATATTTGCCGAACCTGATGATAACTACACTCACCGCAATAGTCAAAGAAAAAAAACTGTCAATAGAAAAACATATTTTGTTTTTATTTTTTGACCAATAAAAATACAAAATATAGTACAAAAAGTACAAAAAAAATACAAATAAAAATACAAAAAAGGTACAAAACTGAATCCCCCTTCATTCTTATCTCTCAGTTACCCAGTTCTCCCAGAAACAACAACTGCTAACCAGTTTCTTGTGTTAGGAGGGCGCAGGCTGTCAGAGCCGATGTGGAGAAAGGAGGACATCCACATGGGAAAGAGAGCTGCAGCAGCAACGGGAAACCAGTTACATAAAGGGGAATCATTCAAATAAGTAAATTTAACTGACCCTTGAACAACGTGGATTTGAATTGCACGGGTCCACTTTACATGAGTTTTTTTTAATGATTTATTTATTCGTTTGAGAGAAAGAGTGAGAGAGCACATGAGCACAGGCTAGAGGGGCAGAGGGAGAGGGAGAGAAAGTCCAAGCTGACTCGTGCCAAACGTGGAGCCTGACACGGGGCTCAGTCTCAGGACCCTGAGATCACGACCTGAGCTGAAACCAAGAGTAGGATGCTTAACCAACTGTGCCACTTAGGCCCCCCATACGTAGATATTTAAAAAATATATATAGTACAGCACTGTAAATGTATTTTCTCTTTCTTATGATAATCTTGGGTTTTTTTTTAAAGATTTATTTATTTGAGAGACAGAGAGAGAGCACAAGTGGGGAGGATGAGCAGAGGGAGAGGGAGAAGCAGACTCCCTGCTGAGAGGGAGCCCAGCACGGGGCTGGATCCCAGGACCCCAGGATCATGACCTGAACAGACGCTTAACTGACTGAGCCACCCAGGCACCCCATCTTTCTTATGATATTCTTAATATTTTCTTTTCTCTAGCTTACTTCATTTTAAGGAAATGGTATAGAATTCATATAACATGCAAAAGATGCATGTTACTCGATTATTTGTCACTGGTAAGGCTTCTGGTAAACAGTAGGCTGTTAGTAGTTAAGTTTTGCGGGAGTCAAAAGTTATTTTCAGATTTTCAACTGCGGTGTGGGGGTTGGTGCCCCAACCTCTGTGTTGTTCAAGGGTCAACAGTATATTAAGGGTAATGGGAACTAGGTTTCTCGGGGTCAGAGAAGGGAGCTGCAAATATGGAAAAGGAGAAAACTAGGACAAAACTAACTGGGCGCTTGGATGGGAACTGGAAGTATCAAGTGTGAACTCATGGTTTTTGATAAACATAAAAATACAAAAATATAGATAAAAAGAGGGGTGGGTACACATGTGTCTGTGTATCCCCTAACTTGTCTGCTGAGAGGCTTGGGAGCAGTGATGACCAAACAGCCATAAGCAATTTAGTGTCCAGATCTTGGTTTCTAAATAGTATACTCGACTAAAAAGAACCAGGCAGGGTTCCTTGGGGAAATGGCTGATTCCAGGTTTGGGAGAAGAAAAGTATGAACTGAGCTTACAACTTCTTGTACCAGAAAGAAGAGAAGTGCTCCAAGAACGATGGGGTCATATTGAAAGGACACAGAAACCAGCCTGAAGGGTGGGCCAATAGCTAAATCAGAGCCAATTTAAAAATATCTAAACAATGATAATAATAGATTTTAATCCAATGGATAAAATAGAGAGCCATGAGTCCATACTGATTTAAATAAATGAATAAACTGAAAGTTTGATAAAAAACAGGGTAACTTATAAGATCTCAAATTGCCCTCCCCACAAATACTTAATTATAAAGGAAAAACAAGTAGCTTTATGACAAGCCTAACAGATACCTCCTTATTAAGAAGTTATAATGCACACCATCAGTAACTAGAAAATCTAAACTGTATACCCCTGCTAGGATTCAATGACAAGAACACAGAATCACTTTGGTTACATTCCTGTCAAAGGTGCATAACCTGAACATCAGCATGAAAAAATAGCAGACAAGCAAAATTGAACATTTTACAAAATAACTGGCCTGTGGTATTCAAAAGTGTCAAGGTCATGAAAGTAAAAAAAGACCAAGTAAGTGTTCCAGATTGAAGGTGACTGAGGAGACATGACAATTAAATGCAATATGTGATTCTGAACTGGGCCCTTTTACAGTAAAGGACATTACTGGAAAACTGGTAAAACATGAATGAGATCTGAGGACTAGATGGCAGGAATACATCAATGTCAATATTTTGACGTTTGTATTATAGTTATGTGATTATATAGGACAATGCCCTTGTTTGTAGGACACAGACTAATGTATCTGTGGTGATGGGATACTATGTTAGGAACTTTCTCTCAAATGGACAGAAAAAAAAAGGTTCTCTTGCAATTTTTCTGTAATTGTGAGATCACTTAAAAAAAAAAAAAAAGAAAAAAAATGGTTGCACTAACTAGCAAGCTTTCTCCTCTAACCTAGTCTTTTGTACCAGTGCCTTGCATGTATTAGGTGCTCAATAAATGCTTCTGATTTGCTGAATGACAAAAAGAAACTGCTGTGGCTACCATGTAAAACAATGTTCCAGAAGGTAGTAAGAGTAAAAGAAGGGAGACTGGTTAGAAAGCTACTGAAATAGTCTAGTTAAAAAATGGACTGAAGTGGGGTGAATGGTCATGTCACACAAAGATTACATAAATATTTAGAATACAGAATTCAAAAGCCTTTGTGTTCTGAAAAAGGGGGTAGTGAAAGAAAGGATGGTGTAAAGGATGACTCCCAGGACTCTGGCAAAACCAACTGGATTAATAACATTTACTAGTAAAATGGAAACACAAGTGGAAGAATAAATTCAGGTGGGGTAGGGTGGGGTAGCTCAGGGACAGTGAGTTATTTTAAATATGTTGAATTAGAGGGACTTGTAAAACATTTCAGTAGGGATGCTGTGTGGGCAATAGGATTCTGAAATTTAAAAGAAAGGTAAAGTCACCTAGGAAGACAGTGCCAGACTAAGAAGAAAAGATGGCCTGAAAGAAAACTGTAAAGGCTAGGGAAAGGGGGAAAAGCCGGAAAAGGTGACTTATAAGGTACAGCCAAAGGAGGTAAAAAGAAAGCAGTAAAATGTGATGTTTAAAAAAAGGAACGAGAACATTTCAAGAAGGAAGATGTAACTGGAGTTAAATGCTGCTGCTGCCAAGTTAAGTAAAACAAAGTCAGAAAGTATCCATTAGAGTTCATGATACTGACATCATTACCTTGTAAGCTGGTAGAAGCCAGATGGGTGAGTTGAGAAGTGACAGAAGGTAGGAAAACTAAGACAGTAAATGCAGACATCAACTCTTGAGATGGTTTACTTTAAGGAAAGGGACGAACAAGGTGGCAGATAGAGTGGAATATGGGGTTGAGAGAGGTTTGATTGTTTTAAAATGGGAGAAATCTGGACCCAAAAACCACTGAGATAAAGTTAATGACACAGGAGAGAGGAGATAATTAAGAATGCAGGTTTTCTTAATTCCATATTGGAGTGTCACTCAGGCTCCAAACACTTCAGAAATTCTTACTTTAGAAACAGTTCAAGTGATTTTGAAATGAATATTGTTATTCATTAGAATTGTAGAATGTCATTTGGTAAAAAGGGTTCTAAAATCATCTAGTCCCATCTGAGGCTCAAAGGAGTTAGGTGACTGGCTTATTTGCTGCAGCTCACATGGTTATTGTGTGATAGAGCTAGGGCCTGAGGACTTCTGACTTTAAATTGCATGCTCCTTCCATGATCCCAGAATGACTTTCTAAACTGATTTGAGTGTTCTGTAGACCCGCATCTGGAGTCATGAGGGTGATTAACACGGGGAGTGGAAGGAGATGTGGGTTGGAGAGAGTCTGGCTACATTCTAGGGCTCTGGAATCCCCATTCCCGTTTCACAGAAGCTACCAACCCTTCTATATGTCTAAAAAATTAGGGTCCTGCATGAGATTTTAATTAAAAAAAAAAGAAAGAAAGAAAAGAAAAAAAGCTGATAGAAAAATAAAAAGCAAACCATGATCAAAGATATGTAAAAATATACATATTTTAAAACAGGCTTTAAAAAAAATGAAACAGGCTTACCGGGTAATAGCACTGAACAGTCCACGGATGCGTGCTTTATGTCGAGCTACAAAAGCTTTAGTAAATATGACTCCTCTGTTATCAAGATCAATCTGTCCATTAATAATTCTACCTAGTCGCTGAGTTAGTGCCTGGGGTAAAGATGCAAACTTTTATTAATTTGAAAGAATAAAATTATATGTATATAATTGTATAGTCTTAATAAAGTCATGCTGCTCGCTGATGTATTATCCATATGATTGAGAAATTTCAACAAGCACAAATTCATAGGATATATAAGCTAAAATGAAGATTTAGGGTCTAGGAAACTTCATAATCTCAGAGCAGAATCAAGAATTGAGTGAGTATATAGCTGATATGCTAAAAGGCTTTGCTACTTGCTAAGAAGGGCTACTTCTAATGTAAAATAAAAGTGACTGATTAACCAATTTTCTAGATAGAGGCAGCCTGAAACATACAGGCAGCCAAGACATATACATGTCTTGAAGAAGACCCTATCTGGAGCTTCGAGCACTGAGTAAAATAAATGTTATTCCAAGATTCTGAAACCTAGGGAAACATAAGACCTAAAAAGTTCTCTTCTCTGATGCAAATATTAACAAGTTTATTGGTGCCCAGAGATCTCTACTGGCAGACAGCATGATTTCCTGGAAATCCCAAGAGAGTATTTCCCCACAGCTATATTATGACTGGGTTAGGTACATCTGAAATGAGTCTGGACATATTTCACATCCTAAGATGAGTTAAAACTACTCAAGGCAGCCTGGCTGATACTTTTCCGATATAGAAAAACGTATTTCAAAAAACTTCTTAATGAGCTTTTAGAATACTGCCTGTGATATTCAGAAAAACTAGAACTGAAAAATGTTAAGAAAACATACATATTTACAAAATGTATCAATGGCACAGTTTTATAAGAAATCATTTGGGTCTGTTTTGATACTTTTAAAAAATGTTTTAAAAGTACGTTTTTTGACCTTCTGTGATTAAAATACATTTGCTCACTTAAAATAGAACTAAGGCTCCTGAAATGCTACATAAAATGGGTCTATATTCAAATGGTATTTTAGATGTAATAATAGGAAATCACTCTCAAAATGGGTGAGCAAATCTGTTTGTATTATAAATTAATCTCATGCAATTATGGTTCGGTAAATTTTTGTAAGCTGAATTTTCTTAAGATGATATACATCTAAAAAGAGATTTGGCTTTTCTCTTATTTATTCCAATAAATACAAAACAAAACCATCATTTACTGAGTACCTCCGTTGTGCCAGACATCTCACTAGCTACACCATATATATAACCTTATTAAAGTCTATGAAAAAGATAATTATTCCCATTTCAAAGATACGTAAATTGAAGCACAAGAGTTGAAATAATTTTCCTAACACTGAATAACTAAACAGTGGCATAAATGAATTCAAATCAAAGTCTGTTTAACTCCAAAGCCTGTGCATTTCCCACTGCACAAAAGAAATGTCTATAATTCTAAAATGTCAAACTATTTTAAGAAAAAAGAAATAATCATTTCTAAATGATCTAATCAGAGACATCAATGTACAGGAAGTATCCCCAAAATATACTGCTACAACATCAATAGTCAAATACTTGCAAACAAATTAATGGTAAGAAAATCTAGTTTTTTTCTTCCAATTAAAATTATTCATCTGAAAAGACGTTATACTATTAAGAGAAAATACCTGTGTCAGAAAGTTTCCAGGAAGATCATAGGTTTTACACAGCTCTGATATGGTGACCTGACCACTTTCTTGCAATTTATCATTTACCTCTTCTGCTAACCGATCCAAATAGTTCCTAAGAGTTTAAAAAAAAAAAAAAAAAATTAGGAGTAATGATTTTCCTCTTTTATGTTTAATTTCTGTGCAATAATATATGCCAACAAAATAATGAATAGGGTATGTTTAGGTAAACACGATTCATGACTCATATTCTGAAAAGTATTTTTTTTCTTACCAATGCAACTAAATATAAGGTCAACCAAATGATAAATGCTCAGATTTTTTTTTAACAATGTAAATTCCTGCAGTCGTTTTTCATTAACAGTTTTGGAAGCAATTTGCTTTCAGAGTTAAGATCATACAGGAAAGACTGTAAAAATTATGTTTTGTGCTGCTTTAAAATAATAGGCAAAAAAATTTAAAGTTTTTATTATTTCCAAGTACTCCATCCAATTAAGCACTTACTTTTTAAGTACAATGATCTCAACGATGAAAATCAGCATATGAGAGTTCTAAACAAAATGCCAAACTGGTCACAATTGTTCTAAATTTAAACATTAAAAAAAAAAAAAGTGTTCTTAAATACTGTACTTACTCATCTATCAGTTGTCCCAACACTAGCTGCACATGTTTTTCTGATTTTACAATGTCACCAATTCTACTTTCAATATGAGTCAGATCCACATTAATTACCTGGAAAATAAATAAAATTCTATTAGTGATAAGTTCATATTGTTTCTTGAGTTTGAAGTTACAGATTAGAACTACCTTTTTAAAAACTTACTTTCTCTTAGATGAATTTCAAATTAATTTGAAATATTGTGAAAAGTCTCAAATAAAAAATTAGAAGCTTATTGCTTATTAACTTTCATTTCTGAACAACTACATTTTCACTTGCTAAGAAAGTTTGCATTAAGAAGCTACATTTTCATACAACAGGCACAATTTACACAAGATTTTCCAACTTCTTGTAATATAGTGTACCTTGCTAATGACATGCACACTTATATGTTCTAAAAATATCTTCTACTTTAAAAAATTCCCCTATTCCTTCCATATACTAAAAGCATACACAGTTATTTTTCTCTCCAAATTACATAAACCCTGTAATTACATAAAATGACAACTATGAGTTTATTTGGTAAAGAATAAGTAAATAACTGAGAAAGAAGAACTTATTAAATCAAGTCAATATATCAGAACTTATTAAATTGATTAAATGTATTAGTGAGGACTATAAAACTATTTCTTCACAAACATTATACAAAATAAGATACCACTATTAGTGAATACTTAAGTCATAGTACCAAAAAATTGAGAAAGGAAAAAATTTTATAAATTTAAAATTTACCTGTTGCAGATCAACAATGTTTACTCGACCTTTAAAGAAAAGACATTTATTGATTTCATATTTACATGTAAGTACACACAAGCCAAAAACTGTAAATATCGACAGATTTACATTTTGGGCAATCGAAGTCCTCCTTCTACAAAGGACATAAAGCCACAATAATTAATGTTTTCAAATACAAACCATTAGCAGAATAATTCTTTATACTGAAGGCACAGGCAATAATATACTTTTGAAGTTTCATTAGGTCACATCAGGCCAATAATGAACATCAACTGATTCACAAGTTGGCCAGACCTATTGATTTAAGATTTACCTCCCTTCACAATTTACCTGCTGTGACCAAAGAGATACAACTAAATTCAGATGAACTTTTTAAATTTTTGAAATGAGAAGATTTCCACCTATTGGCAAAAGAAAATCTGTCAAGTATTCCAAATTGTACCTAATATTTTCTTAGCATTATGCAGGAAGATGAACCAACACCAAGGGTGTATCTGATAACATCTAATGAAGAGGTATTTTCATAGTTGCTTCTATGTTAATCAAATAGTGTTCAAATTTGCTCAGTAGTTTGTTCACATTTTAAAAAAACAAAAACTTCATGTACCTGTAATAGCATTTCCTACATTATAATAGGTATAGCACCATACTGTTTCCTAATTTGCAAATACTTAAAGGTAAGTTTTTAAAGAGTGTGGTAGTATAGCCCTATCAACAATATATAATCCTTTAAAATCTCTGTTCTCCTTTCATAATTACCCCCTGATGATAGATAGCTAAGTACCCTCCCGAGTCATGCACTAAATTCATGGCCTGTGAAGAGAAAGAGTTGATTACATTGCAGCCATCAAAAGGAATGAAATCTTGCCATTTGCAACAACGTGGATGGAACTGGAGGGTATTATGCTGAGCGAAATAAGTCAATCAGAGAAAGACATGTATCATATGATCTCATTGATATGAGGAATTATTAATCTCAGGAAACAAACTGAGGGTTGTTGGAGTGGTGGGGGGATGGGAGGGATGGGGTGGCCGGGTGATAGACATTGGGGAGGGTATGTGTTATGGTGAGTGCTGTGAATTGTGTAGGACTGTTGAATCACAAACCTGTACCTCTGAAACAAATCATACATTATATGTTAAAAAAAAGAAGATAGTAGGAAGGGAAAAATGAAGGGGGGGGAATCAGAGGGGAAGACGAACCACGAGAGACTATGAACTCTGAGAAACAAACTGAGGGTTCTAGAGGGGAGGGGGTGGGGGAATGGGTTAGCCTGGTGATGGGTATTAAAGAGGGCATGTTCTGCATGGAGCACTGGGTGTTATACGCAAACAATGACTCAGGGAACACTATATCAAGAACTAACGATGTAATGTATGGTGATTAACATAACATAATAAAATAAAAAATAAAGAGAGTTCTGTACATTTAATTCTGCTTATGAATTAAATCTTTTGAATTTAAAAAAAAGAAACAGTTGATTAATTCACATATAGAACCCATAACTCATAATAATAAAAGATGCTATTTTGTAAGGTGACAATATTCGACTTCTTTTAAATTATATGACCACCTTTACCCGAAGCTATTAAAAATATTAAGGCTGATTTTTATATTAACAGTTGAGAAGGGTGTCCTATACCCTCCAAATAATTTACTATTTATGTTTTAAGTTTTTTTTCCCCTTCCAAATAACCAGAGGAAAAAAATAAGGAATACTTACCACCTCGGACATGTAGCTCATCTCTCATTTCTTTACTAATTTGAGCTGGTGTAATATATTCCTTCCCATCAAGTGTGTGAACTACTTCTAGCTGTTTTTGAGCAATCAACTTATTCACAATCTCAATGCAGTTCCGCTCTGACAACCTGAGAGACACAAGAAGTTTTAAAAATGAACTTGGTACATTTGTGCTTAACAAAATTAACAACGTATGAAAATGGGCTTTTTTAAAAAAGTTTGGGTGAAGAGTCCCTAGGTTCTATATTACAAAATCTGTATCTCTTATTAGTGTAACCATACTGATTCAATAAGTTAAAAAAAAAAAAAACCCTCTTGGGAGCAAGCAGGTTTACGTAAGCTTAAATCATGTACCTAATTGGTACAAATCATTCTATTACAGAATTTCAAGTCTGCTCTCTCCTCTGGGCCTGCTTCTACTCTTCAAATCTGAATAGAAAAGTGAGGACATGTAATTTAGGTAGGAAAAAACCCTGCCCTTTTACTTCAATTTCTAGTTTAAGTTCAATAAAAAACCAAACAAACCAGAATTTTCTTTTAAATTAAGTGTGTGATTGCTTCACCACTACTATTGGTCGGTAGGCAGGAGATACGGCCTAGGAAAACCATGACTGCAACTGTTATCCAAGCACTTAAGCATTTGCCCTAGTTTGCTCTCAGTGCTACAAAATACAGTATTAAGGAATAAAGGTCTTCAAGCCCCAGAAGGCACAAAAACATCAAAGGTAATAGATAGTCAACGAATAGAAAAGGATTCTATTAACATTGTATATGCGTTCTGTAACATTAAAAAGCAGAGCTAGGATGCCCAGGACACATCCCCCCAAGGTTTCTGGGTTTGCAAGAAATGCCAGTGTCCAGGAGTCCTTAAAAATGACAGATGGGACCATGGGTCTGGCCTAGCACAACTCTTCCGGCGCACACAAAGGCAAAATGTTTAGAGTCAACATAGCATTTTCTCAGTACTGTATTTTGGCGTTAGCCTCTCCTTTCCAGCTTATTCTAGGTCAGGAAATGTATAATAGTTAATGATGCCATAGGGACTTGACGGGTAAATAAGGATCAGAGGGACCCTCTCATGACAGCTAGAAGTCACCAGTCTCGGCCATCAAGAAGGCGGGGCGCGCCAGCTCTTGGCTGGGGCATGGCTCGGGGGGTTCCGGGCCGTAGTAGCTTTCGGGCTTCACCGCCGAGAACTGTACTTGGAACTGCAATCCAGGTTATGGGAGGAAGAAGGCAGAAACGGTGACACAGAAGGGGAAGTGCGGCGTCCAGAGCCAGGAATCCCCGGCCTCAGATCACGGCGTGGCTGCCCTGGGGCTATTTTGGACTCCGCAACGGAGAGGGAGGGTCGGCACCTCTGTGTGGCCTCGGCGAACTGCGCCCGCTGGAAGTCAGCCGCCAACCGCCTGATCTCCTCCCAGGCATCCGCCATCACGGCCCTACTCGCCGAGCCGCCGAAGAACCGCAGACACGTCAGCCTAAATGCAGCGGGAGCCGAGGCGGAACGGGCCGCGCGGAGGGACAAGAGACTCCTTCCCCGATGCAGATACCGAACGCGTGCGCCCCGCTCCGGCAGGGGCGTGCCGGAAGAGCCGTAGCCCCGCCCACTTCGCGTGGGCGGGGCGTCCTCCCTGTTATGAAGGCACAGGGTTTTGCTGGAAGCCAGGTGGCGAGGTTCTCGCAAAAGGGTGGGATGCAGGAGGGGTCAAGTTAGAAAAGTGCTACTTTCGGTCTTTGTTTGTATTGTAACTAATGTTTCAGGGCACTGATAATCAGATTAACGAATTTTCTTTTTCTTCTGCCCTTTATTTGTTTTTTGGGGAGAGAGCGGGGAGGAGATGTGTCTGTGCCTGCAATTAGTAATATCTCTTCTTCCCTAGTTATTAACAAGGAGCAGTCCATTGGGTATCATGCTAATTTTTACGTGGGCACAGGGCACAGAGTACCTTTTGGGAGACAAGTGGGACACAGTACTGAAGGTAGGTACTCTATTTTTTTGCACAAAGATGACTAATTCGGGTACCAAAAAGGCTGGGCATTGCTTTCATGGTGTTCTAGATTTAGACTGTTATTCTTTCCTATTTCTCCTCTGGGGAAGATTGGCTCCATCAAGCAATGAAGAAATAGAAACATACGATAATGCGTATATATGGCTACGGATGAAATGGAGGAGGCAAAAGACACGTTTATTTTGCTTTACCCTGCATTGATATCAGTAAAAGGTAGGTATTTACTCTGGAGTAAATTTCTTGTCCTCTTTTATTTTTATACCTAACTTTTCACTTTAAAAGAAAAATTTTCATTCCTTTTAACTGCATGCGCTATAGAGTTGGTGAAGGGGAATTGTTCCAGTTCTTTTCCAATCTCAGCCTCTTATTCGGGGTGACTCAAATCCAATGCCACAAAGGTACTTGTCCAGTAAAGTTCCCAACTTTATTTAAAATGCAGAGAACACAGTCACAAAACCTGTTACTAAGTACTGCCACCAAACAGCCACACTGTTTGGCAAAGTGATTGCCAGCCAAGAGGTAGAAGAGCAGAAGTCAAGAAGGTAGCTTGGAAGAGGGTAGGTGGTGTAGTTGCAAAGGGTATCAAGCTTCAGAACAACCAGAAACATTCATTCATATAACAAAGACTTATTGATTCTCTATCCGATACCATGGAGTACATTGGTTGGTAAGGCAGGCATGATCTTGCCATAAACAACTTATAAATCTAATAAAGCAGATTTTTTTTAAAGATTTTATTTATTTATTTGAGAGAGAGAATGAGAGAGAGAGAGAGAGAGCACATGAGGGGGGGAGGGTCAGAGGGAGAAGCAGACTCCCTGCTGAGCAGGGAGCCCAATGTGGGACTTGATCCTGGGACTCCAGGATCATGACCTGAGCCGAAGGCAGTCAATAAAGCAGATTTTTTAAAAAAAGTACTTAGTATAAAGTATAAATGCAGTAGGAAAACTATAGTGTACCATGTGACCACTTGGCATTCAAACTTCTTCCTTACAAATAAGCCTCCATGAGCCCGGATTCTACTTTTTGGCAGCATCAACTACTGCACACCACATGTGAAGTAGTGGCCTAGATACACCAAGCCTTTTCAGGACTCCATATCTTTCTGGAATGCCTGTCTTATTCCTCACAGCACCACGCTCTTATTTATTTTGTAACTTATTCTTCTGTGACGTCCCAGATTAAATAAAACTCTTCAACGAAACCTTTTTAAATTCCTACGATTAGGGGCACCTGGGTGGATCAGTCGTTAAGCGGCTGCCTTCGGCTCAGGTCATGATCCCAGGGTCCTGGGATCAAGCCCCGCATCGGGCTCCCTGCTCAGTGAGAAGCCTGCTTTTCCCTCTCCCCCTCCCCCTGCTTGTGATCCCTCTCTCACTATGTCTCCCTCTGTCAATAAATAAATAAAATCTTTAAAAAAAATAAATTCCTACCATTATTCTGTATGCAGTGTCCCCACAATTCTTTATTCAGTTGTCTATAATAGCAAGCAAAACTGTATTGCAGTTTTTTATTTACTACATCTCTAAATAGTCTGAGCTCCTCAATGCTCCATAGCATGAGTATGACAACTGGTACATAGTGCCTGATATATTTCATATATATTAAATAAATAAGTCAGTGTAAATGTTTTGGTGCAGCATTTTACTTTGGTATAATAATAACATTTACATTTATTCTTTTTTTTTTTTTAAGATTTTATTTATCTGAGAGAGAGAGTGGGCAAGAGAGAGCAGGAGCAAGGGGAGGGGCAGAGGAAGAGGGAGAAGCAGACTCTCTGCTGAGCAGGGAGCTTGATGTGGGGCTCAATCCCAGGACTCCAGGATCATGATCTAAGCTGAAAGCAGACACTTAACTGACTGAGTCACCTAGGTGTCCCCATTTACATTTATTCTTAAAAGGCAATAATTCCTAAAAAAGGAATAATTCATGACTGTATTTTCTAGAGACTAGACTAAAGTGGTAGCCACAAGCAAGATGAAGCTATTTAAATTTTAATTAAAATTAAATAAAATGATACCAACAGTGAACAAGTGGAATTTGAAATTGAAAACACAATGTAGTTTACATTAGCACCCCCCAAAATGAAATACTTAGGCATAAATTTAGCAAAATATCTACAAGATCTATATGAGGAAAACTACAAACTTAGATGAATGAAATCAAAGAAGAACTAAATAAATGGGAAGGTATTCCATGTTCATGGATAGGAAAACCAAGGGGAAAAAATCTCATATTGTCAAGATGTGAGTGCTCAACTTGATCTATGATTCAATGCAATCCCAATCAAAATCCCAAAAAATTATTTGGTGGATATCAACAGACTTATTGTAAAGTTTATATAAAGAGGCAAAATATCCAGAATAGCCAACACAGTATTGAAGGAGAGCAAAGTTGGAGGACTGACACAACCTGACTTTAAGACTTACTATGAAGCTACCCTAATCAAGACAATGTGGTATTGATGAGAGAATAGACAAATATGTCAATGGAACAGAATAGAGGGACCAGAAATAGACCCACATAAATATAGTTGACTAATACTTGACAAAGGAACAAAGGCGATGCAATGGAGAAAAGATAATTTTTCAACCAATAATGCTAGAATAATTGGACATTCACACACACACAGATGAATCTAGATGCACAACTTACAGCTTTTATAAAAATTACATTTGGATTGGGCGCCTGGGTGGCTCAGTTGGTTAAGCGACTGCTTTCGGCTCAGGTCATGACCCTGGAGTCCCTGGATCGAGTCCTGCATCGGGCTCCCTGCTCTGCAGGGAGTCTGCTTCTCCCTCTGACTGTAACCCCTCTCATGTGCTCTCTCTCATTCTCTCTCTCTCAAATAAATAAATAAAATCTTTAAAAAAAAATTACATTTGGATCACAGATCTAAATGTAAAATGCAACTATAAAGCCCCTAGAAGGTAACTAGAGAAAATTTAGATGACTTTGGGTATATCAATGACTTTTTAGATACAATACCAAAGATATAGCACATGAAAGCAAGAATTGATAAGCTGGACTTGATTAAAATTAAAAACTCTTCAAAAGTCAAAGTCAAGAGAACAGAAGACAAGACACAAACTGGGAGAAAATATTTGCAAAAGATATATCTGATAAAGGACTGTTATCGAAATATATGAAGTCTTAAAACTCAACAGTAAGCAAGCAAGGAACCAATTAAAAAATGGCCCAAAGACCTTAACAGACACCTCACCAAAAAAGGTATACAGGCAGCAAAACAACATATAAAAAGATGCTCTGCATCATGTCATTAAAGAAATGCAAACTGAAATGAGATACCATTACACAACTACCAGAATGACCAAAATCCAGAATACTGGCAATGCCAAATGCTGATGAGGACGTGAAGCAACAGGAACTCTCATTTGTTGCTGGTGGGAATGCAAAAAGGTATAGCCACTTTGAAAGGCAGTTTTGTGCTTCCTTACAAAACTAAAAATACTCTTACTCTATAATCTAGCAATTGTACTCTTTACTATTTACCCAAAGGAGTTGAAAACTTATATCCACACCAAAACCTACACACAGATATTTAAGGCATTTTGATTCCTAATTGCCAAAACTTGGAAGCAGCTAAGATTTCCTTCAGTAGGTGAATGGATAAATGAACTGTGATACAGCCAGACAACGGAATATTATTTGGCACTAAAATGAAATGAGCTATCAAGTCCTGAAAAGACATAGAGAAACCTTAAATGCACACTACTAAGTGAAAGAAGCCAATCTGAAAAGGCTACATACTGTATGATTCCAACTCTATGACATTATGGCAAAGGCAAAATTTTGGAGACAGTAAAAAGACCAGTGTTTGCCAGGGGTTAGGGAAGGTGGAGGGATGAACAGGCAGAGCACTGAGGATTTTTAGGGCAGGGAAAATACTCTGTATGATATTATAATGATGGACCTGTCTTACTATGCGCATGTCCACACCAATAGGATGTAGGACACCAAGAGTGAGCCAATGTAAACAATGAATTTTGAGTGATTGTGATGTGTTAATATAAGTTCATAAATTGTAAGAAATGTACAGTCCCTCTCTGGTGCGGGACTTTGATAACAGAGAGGCTATGTGTGGGTGCAAAGATTATATGGGAAATCTCTATACCATCCTTTCAATTTTTCTATGAACCTAAAACTGGCCTTAAAAAATAGTGTTTAAAATATTAAATAAAATTTAAAAGTTAGTCATTCAGTCACAATAGCCACCTTTCAAAGGTGCAATAGCCATATGTGGCTCATAGCTATCTTATGGGAAAGTATAGAAAACCATTCTCACCTTCACCAGAAGTTCTATGGGACAACTTTGATTTAGACCTTTGATAAAGGCACACGTTTGTTCATTCTGAGATCCTAAGACTCAACACAACTATCTACACCAAGCAACCATATATCTTAACTGCAGTATCGGTTATTTTGAAGGGGGAATAAGAATTTGAATGGGGACCGTTTCAAAGTTGGCTAACATTGTGATACAGAGTAGGGGAGCTTTAATTAATCTAATGTATGAATAGGATAATGGTAAACAGTACAAGTGACCACTGAATAAGAGATGAGAGATTCCTTTTAAGAACAAGCTTTATGTAGACTTGGAAAACAGAGCTTCAGTTCTCTAAAAAAAAACTTTCTAACAGCTTGTGTCTACAAATGTAAGTCAAATTTTGACATGTGGGAAGGACTCATGGTCTTTTCAACTATGCTAGGTACATGATTGTGACACCATCCTCAGATTAATTTTAAATCCAAAGGCTAAAAAAATATTCTAACATTTGTAATGTGGATTGACAGTTTCTTTGATGATATAAGATGTGATACTGTAAAGTCCTTCCAAGATAAGCTTTTCTTTTAATAAAATTTGAAGCATTTCCACCTGTTTACTAGAAAATAAGAAAATTTGAAGTAATTTCTCCAACTCACCTAGGAAAATAAACCTAAACAACTGCAAAATGTGTATTGTCAAACAAGTCATTGCAGAGAAATTACAAAGACCTTGTGTTAATTACATCACTGATATTATCTTATTGTAGTTAGGGACTTAACAATTACCTTAATACCACCACCAAAAATGGCAGTAAAATCTTATACATAAAAAGCATCAATGCCTTAGGAAACCACTTAGGTGGAAGAAAAGCAAAATGGTCGGAAAAAAGATGAAACTGAAGAACTAGGAATAAAGGAAGCAAGAA